GGGCCCTGTCGGACTGGTGGGGAGCACTCCAGAGATCGTAGATCTGGGCCTGCTCACTCCATTTCAGGCAGGAACAGTCCTGAAGGGTGGCCTATAGCACTGCTGTCCAGCCAACAAAGAGCCCCCATGAGTCTTTCGTTTTAGTGGCTGCAGGCAATGTGTGAAAAGTGAAAAGCAGGACTTGCCTCCGTATGTTTTGGAAGGAGGGTAAAAATTATCCTGCAATATGTTGCTGCCATCGTGCAAACCCCAGCACACCGGGATGTGATCTGAATAAAACCTGGCTTGACATGCTTTTGAAACACCTCCTGACTCTTTTCCAAAGGGAGGGTAGCTGTTTTCTAGGTTTTTCCGCCTACCGCGGCGCAACTGACAGTAGGTGAGTCCCACTTTTAACACTTGACATGTTCGCTGCTTGTTTTCAGCAACTGGGACTGCTGCGGGTGGCACAGGCAAAGGCACGGGACCGGCCACTCCGTATCCAGCAGCCACTGCAAGCACATTTTGGTAAAGAGCCGGGAAGCATTTCAATAGCGGGTCAAGCCACATCTTATTCAGATCACACCTTGGCGTGTTTTGGACAATTGATAAAAGAAATCCCATATAATATTCAGTTTGTTCTTTCTCCTTAATTGCAAGCGTTAATCCATTCATTTCTGCATTATATTTTCCTAATCACATTTTCTGTAGGGATCTCTTCACTTTTCCAATTTCATGCAAATACATTTTTAACTGCAGTTAATATATAATAGATAATTAAATATGCATTCCCCTTACTATATTTTTCAGGTAAAATCCCCAAAAAGAATATTTCTGGCTTTAAACCAGTATGTTCCTTATCATTTTTTTTTCAGCCATGTATGTATTTTTGTCCAATATTTTTTTGCTTTTGAGCATGTGCGCCACATATGATAATACGACCCAGGTATTTGTCAGCACTTGCAGCATTTTTCAGACTTCTCTTTAAACATATTTGCCAACCTCGCTTGTGCAAAATGCCACCTATAAAACATCTTACAGATTTTTTGCAAGCAGCTGACATTGTAAATTTATAGTTCCTGTCCCAATTTCTGCCATTTATCTAACTCTATTGTATAACAAGTTTTTTGCCCATATTATCATTCTCTCCTTCATTTATTCATCTTCTAATTAAAAGCCTTTCATCTTTCTGAGGTCAATAAAATGAGGACCCAAATTTCTGAGGACAACATGCTGACTTTGTAAACTGCTGAAACACTGCTATAAAGCTTTGAGGAATGGTAGAGAAATCTAAAGTGGAATTCCTATTGCTATATATTTTCTCCCGAGCATAGATCCTTTTATGAGAATTAAGATTACCATTCTGAGCAAAGTTCATTCCACATTCCATGCATTTATATAATTTCTGCCCTGTGCGGATCACCTGACAAGTATTAAGATTACCTCTGTGTGCAAAGATCTTTCCACTGCATTCATTAAATGGTTTCTCTTTTGAGTGGATCATCTTATGGGAAAAAAGATTACTTTTTGAGCAAAGCTCTTTTCACATTCCATGCATTTAAATGGCTTTTCTCCGGTGTGGATCTTTTTGTGGGTAGTAAGTCTACTGCTCAGAGCAAAGGTCTTTCCACACTCCATGCATTTAAATGGATTTTCCAATGTGGGTCTTTTTGTGGTTACTGAGATCAACACAATGAGCAAAAGTCTTTCCACACTCCATGCATTTATATGGTTTCTCCCCTGTGTGGATTACCTGATGGGAAATAAGATTCCTTTTTTCAGTAAAGGTTTTTCCACACTCTATGCATTTAAATGGCTTCGCCCCTGTGTGGATCCTTGTGTGTATTCTTAGGTTATTGCTCTTAGCAAAGGTCTTTCCACACTCCATGCATTTATATGGTTTCTCCCCTGTGTGGATCATGTGATGGGAAATAAGGCTACTTTTTTGGGTAAAGGTTTTTCCACATTCCATGCATTTATATGGTTTCTCCCCTGTGTAGATTACCTGATGAGAAATAAGACTCCTTTTTTGAGCAAAGGTTTTTCCACACTCCATGCATTTAAATGGCTTCTCCCCTGTGTGGATCCTCTTATGGGTAGTAAGTTGGCCACGTTGAGTAAAGGTTTTTCCACAGTCCATGCATTTAAATGGCTTTTCCCCTGTGTGGATCTTTTTGTGCATATTAAGTCTATTGCTCAGAGCAAAAGTTTTTCCACACTCCATGCATTTAAATGGTTTCTCTCCTGTGTGGATCGTATTGTGAGCAGTAAGTCCACTGCTATCAGTAAAGGTCTTTCCACACTCCATGCATTTATAGGGTTTCTCTCCTGTGTGGGTTGTTTTGTGGTTTCTAAGTTTTTTGCTATGAGTAAAGGTCTTTCCACACTCCATACATTTAAATGGTTTCTCTCTTGTGTGGATCGTTTTGTGGTTTCTAAGTTCCTTTCTATGAGTAAACGTTTTTCCACACTGCATACATTTATAGGGTTTCTCTCTTGTGTGGATCGTTTTGTGGTATCTAAGACCACTGCTATGTGGAAAAGTTTTTCCACACTCCATGCATTTATATGGTTTCTCCCCTGTGTGGATTACCTGATGGGAAATAAGACTCCTTTTTCCAGTAAAGGTTTTTCCACACTCCATGCATTTAAATGGCTTCTTCCCTGTGTGTATTGTTTTGTGGTTTCTAAGTCCCTTGCTATCAGCAAAGGTCATTCCACACTCCATGCATTTAAATGGTTTCTCTCCTGCTGCTTGGAGGGGCTGTGCTGTGTTGGCTAGAGGAGCTTCTGAACACTGTTTCTCCCCGATGTGAATCCTTTCAGAAGTAAGTTGCCTGCTTGTTCTAAAATGTTTTCCAGATTCCAAACATTGATAAGGCTCCTTTTCTGTGTCAATCGCTTTTTGAGATGTAAGAAAATTATTCTCAACAGAAAGAATGAATGTCCCATTGTAATTTTTTCTGTTCTGTCTTATAGCATCTTCTCCTTTGTTTTGTGTTAAACAGTGTTCATTAACATGTAATATATCATTGATTAGCTTCTCACTTTTCCCAATATATTTCTTCCTTATTTTCTCATGTTGGGCAAGAAAGTCTTGCATCGGAGCATCAGTGGAAGAGGAGCTTTCCTGATTCCAATTATTCGACTGTTTTTTCTTATGGCTTTCAAATTCTATTCGAAATCCAAACTTCTCCATTCCATCTTTATCATTGATCACTTGGAACAGTTCATAGGAATCTTGATTCTCCTGCCCATTATTACCTTCAAAGCAAAAGAGAAATGAAAACGACAACAAGGTTAGAGAAAAAGATCAAACTGTAGAAAGTCAACGGATATTCTTCTGAATTTGTCCAAAATTCTATGCTGTATTTTGCATGCCTACAGTGCTGTGATATAGACATGATGATTTCTATATTCATGAGTCATTAAAGCCTTGATAATATCTAGAAAATATCTTTCTTTACAATTATCTATATATATGCAAATATCACTCAAAGTCAGTTTTCAGTTAAGGACTAATCAGGGGAAACATCCAAGAAGGAATTAGGAGAAAACCTAAGACTTTTTGGGGTGGGTAAAGTTCAGCAGAGATCTGTGAGAACTGAAATAATTTTGAAACAAGCTCCTTCTTGCTCAGTGTACATTGGAGCAACTCCTCTGCGGGGTGTATCTGGGGGGCCAGACCCCCGCTTGGCCCATTTCTTCATCCCAGTAATGAGACTTTGAGGCGAAATCCTTTGAAGCCTTCCATTGGCTTCTAAACATTCTTCGTGCCGAGACTGGAAAGGTTGGGAGGTTTTAAGAACGGCTATTTCACTGCTCAAAAGTATCATTGGCTTGCAAGGTCTCTTTGGCCAAATCTGGTACAGGCCTCAGTTAGCAGAGAACAGATGCCTAAACTACTTTAGTGCCAAATCACGCAAGATCAGTAATGCAAGGTCTCACTCTACGGATCTCACACTATAGTATTTTATACCTGAGTTTTCTACAAACTGAGGACCGCACGAGATAGAATAGAATAGAATAACAGCGTTGGAAGGGACCTTGGGGGTCTTCTATTCTAACCCCATTCTTAGCCAGGAAACCCTATACCATTTCAAAGAAATCGCTATCCAATCTCTTCTTAAAAACTTCAAAAATCCAAAGCCCACACAGAATCATCCACACCATACAATGAAATAAAGAACGCTCAGCCGCAATGTCCATGTGGGCAGCCATCTCTCTGGGTGATTCTTCTTTCCTTGATTAGTTTCTTCCCATTGGTTCCTATCCTACCTTCAGGTGCTTTGGAGAATGGCTTGACTCCCACTTCTTTGTGGCAGTCCCCCAATGGAGGTGGAGTTGCACTATATATAAGAAATAACTACATCTCTACAGAAATTGAGCACAACAATGATGAGAACTATTTTGAATGCATATGGATCAATATTAAAGGTTGTGGGGGAAATGACATTGCCATAGGTCTATACTACAGGTCACCCAACCAAACAGAGGAAGTAGATGAACTTTTTGCTAGTCAACTAACTAAGGTGTGTAGGAAACACACTATAATAGTAGTGAGGGATTTTAACTACCCTGACATCAACTGGGAAACAAACTCTGCACCAAGTGGAAGATCCAACAGGTTCCTAACAAACCTGGCCAACAACTTTGTTTCCCAAAAAGTAGAGAAGAGAACAAGGGGATCAGCCATATTGGACTTAATTCTCACTAACAGAGGGGAAATGATAGAAG